CCCCGGGGCTCGGCGGTGCCTGCTCTGCCGAGCGTGCGGAGGTTGGTGAGCCCGAGCGCCTGCGGGACGCGGTGCCGGTACTGACGGAAAGCTCTGCGCTTCCCGGCGCGGCGAGTCCCGGGTAGCATCCCTGTTACGTGTCTACATCCCCTGCCATGAGTTTCCGGAGCAGCACCTGTGCTGTTCCTGGCAGAGCAGTGAGAAGTCGTCTAATGTGAAGAGCTCACTTCTGTTTATGCAGTTTTGTCCTCAAATTAATGCAAACTTTATCCCCTGGAATACATGTCAATGGTTGACCTTGTCTAGCTGATTGGTATCTAGAATCAGACCAAGCCGGAGACCAGCGTATCCAAGTTGGAGAAGTGTGCTTTGAGTTCAAAACCACAGATGCGACTTTACAGCCGCCTTTCTGCGGGCGTTGTTGTCTTTGTTGTCGTGCTGCAGGTTTTTTGGAGCGTAACTTAAGCCTTGAGCCGAAATTCGCATGCGTCTGTGCTTGAACTGCTCTCCAGGGGCCATATAGTCAGCAAATGGACCTCGCCTGTAATCGAAAGGTTGTAGTGAACTGCAAAAACGTGGAAGTACTTTGTCTGAGATGTTTTTTACGTTTCTGCTTGGTCAATCTAAACAAATATAGCATTTGCATCTTAATCTCTGGCTGCCTGCAGGCAGACTGTCCTGTGCCTCGCTGGATCTTCAGTGGGAGCACACGAGCAGCTGAATAAAAGCTTTCAGCCTAAATCTTTGTAGATTGCAGATATTAGATCTGTAACTTCTTTCCTTATTTCTTTAATGGTGCACCTTTTGGTATGGGTATGTGTTTCAAATATGTAGCAATTTAAAATACGTCTGACCATTGCAGAAAACGTTCTTCAGCCAAGCAGTTTGCAGTGAGGCTCGATATATAAAGCCCTGCAATACTTTGCCTAGTGGATAATGCACTACGCAGCACCTCGATAGTCCCAAAATTTATTCCCATTTCTGCTGCTGTCTTGCTGGGATGAGTTTGGGCAAGACATTGTCATAGCTTCATCATCTGCATAATAGCCATTCATCACTGGCTTAATTTGTAAAATGCTTTAAGGTCTGCTAATGTATACAGGACTACATAACATTGATGTGTTCTTATCCTTGGGGCAAGGAGTGCAGGATAAAAACTGGTGAGTTTAGTCAGCCTCTTTTAATGTACCCAGGTTCCGGGTCCTGCAGGCATTGCTGCATGCAGGTAGTCCCCATCACTCTTAATGGGCCTACCTATTTGCTCTGAAACCTCTCCAGAAACAGGGGAAGGATAATTTATACTGTGTGTACTGGAGGCTCGTGATAATTTTTGCTCCTTTTATTTTCCCCATGGGCACAAGAGGCTGCTGCGCTTTTGTTGGTTTCTGAGTGAGAGTCCTGATAGCAAGACTGGCTCTTCCACACACCAGTTCAAGGTGCTGCCATTCCTGCCTTTCCCTCTCCCCACTCAATTTTGGGATTTGTATTTACTGAACGAACTAGAATAAGTTAAATGATGCTTAGAGGCATACGTTCTCCATGAGATAATAGACATTAGAAGTTGGTGTAGTAGCAGGGAAATTCAGTACGCCTGGGAATTGTGTGTGGCTCAGCCAAGATGCTGTGAATTTACAGTAAAAGCACTTTAACACATTTTGGCTCTACAGGTTTTTGTTTCGAGGTTCTTAATGTCACTTTATCTGAGTACTTACTGGAAATATTTCTTCTTCGTATGCTTTTTCCGTAAGCTTTTCTCACTCTTAATGTGGACTTATTAGATTTTGCATTAAATTCTCATTATTGCTGTGTTCTACTCTTCCATGTTTCTTTGACTTAGAGCAGGAAAGACTATTGAAACGTGCGATCTAATGGTGGGGGTGGGAAAGGGCAACAGTAAGATACAGATGGTGTGGTTTGCTCCTCCTTCCCAGTTTTCTGTTCAGTACCTCTATAAAGATGCATCACACATCCAACAGCTGCATGTACCGATTTGGCACACAAATAGGTGGTGCTTAAATATGGCTAATGCAGGTGAACGCTGAGCCCTGCAGGAAAGGAGGTCCCTTGCTACCCCGAGAAACCCGTGCAAACCCCATGGTGCTATTCGTGTATAACTACTTGTAGAAATTGGAGCCTGCTTTTGTTTAAATATAGGCACAGAGTTTATTATCTTGCCAAGCTGTAATGGTGGAATGTAAATATTTGAATTGATTTGTGAGTCATGTTAGATGTTATGTATCAGATGGACTGGAAGCAAAATGAATAGAAACTCATTTATGTTGTGCTAGAAATTCATGTAAAATTGTCTTTAAATTTCGTTGATTATTGCCTAAAGTTAAATAACAAACAAAAATGACATAATATTTGAAGTTGCTTTTTTTTCTTCAGCTGCTGTGGTTTTTTTAAAGATGGGACTTTCTCCTTGGGTTTGATTTATCTTATTTGGAACTTTTTCTTCCAAGCTGATTTCGTTATCAGTATTTCTTTAAGTACCTAATGTACATTTGGGTTCTTAAATAATCCAACAAGACATCTGGTCTATCATAAGGTATTCTGTTTTTAATGAGTCTGGTTTGCTTCCGTATGTGATGTGATGCTGGGAGCTTCAATAATTTAAACTGGTTTGGGTTTTTTTTAGAAATTGTTACAAGATGGCAAAATGTCTTAAAACATACTGATTTTAATGTTACTGCTCAAGTATCACTTAGATTTTGTTTTGATGCATGATTACTGTTAGAAAATTCAATGTTTCTCCAGTTAGGAGCATGGGAAAACATTGAGTCACTTTGAAACAGGGACCTTGTGCCTTTTGGCTTATTTCAACAGGACCTAACCATGTAATCCGATAAAGACATGGACCCTGGGAAGAAAGTGGTTGCTATCAGATAATGACACCATCTCCATTATTTTGAGAAAATGAAAGAAGTGAGGAAAAAACCAGTGTCTGTGATCAGCTGATAAACCGGAAGTAGTGTGGAACAAGTCTTACAGCTTTAACCTGTGACAGTTATCCACCATTGTACATGGTATTCCCTTGATCATGGTACCCTGGAGGAAAGAGAGGAGCACCCTGGTAATGACTTTGTCGTGCTAAATTTCTGTCCTGTGATCACTTAATGTGTTCGCTCTCTTTTTTTAATCATTTGACATCTCTAGATTGATAAAACTGGAAAGAAATATAAATCTTGGTTTACTTAGGCAAACAATCTAATGATTATTAAACTTGTTTTGTATTTTAAGGGATAGGTGTAAAAGTGTAGAAAGCAAGCATTAAAAACATAAAGAAATTCCTTGTAGATCCTAGGAGTTAATATATGTTCAGCATCCTCCTGGAGACACTAGCTGCCCATGGTTTGGATGGATGTACTCTTCGCTGGATAAAGAACTGGCTGAATGGCCAAGCCCAGAGAGTGGTGGTGAATGGAGTTAAATCGAGCTGGTGGCCAGTCACAAGTGGAGAGCTGAGGGTGTTGTTTGACAGCCAGCTGAACATGAGCCAGCAGTGTGCCCAGGTGGCCAAGAAGGCCAACAACATCCTGGCTTGTATCAGGAATAGTGTGGCCAGCAGGAGTAGGGAGGTGATTGTGCCCCTGTACTTAGCACTGGTGAGGTCACACCTCAAGTGCTGTGTTCAGTTTTGGGCAACAAGCAGGACATTGAGTTGCTGGAGCGTGTCCAGAGAAGGGCAGCGAGGCTGGTGAAGGGTCTGGAGAACAAGTGTTACAAGGAGTGGCTGAGGGCACTGAGGCTGTTCAGTCTGGAGAAGAGGAGGCTGAGGGGGGACCTTATTGCTCTCTACAACTACCTGAAAGGAGGTTGTAGTGAGGTGGGTGTTGCTTTCTTCTCCCATGTAACTAGTGGTAGAATGAGAGGCAATGGCCTCAAGTTGCATCAGGGGAGGTTTTGATTTGGTATTAAGAAAAGTTTCTTTACTGGAAGAGTGGTCAGGCATTGGAGCAGGCTGCCCAGGGCAGTGGTGGAGTCCCTATCCCTGGAGGTGTTCAAAGAACATGTAGATGTGGCACTTCGGGACGTGGTTTAGCAGGCATGGTGGTGTTGGGTTGACGGTTGGACTTGATGATCTTAGGGGTTGCTTCCAACCTATGATTCTATGATAAGCAGGTAGTTTTACTAACGATTCCTTTTTTCAAATCCAAGTAATCTAATTTCATCCTGATAAGCCCTGTGTTTCTCAAGAGCCAAGAAAAGCACGTGCAGCTTTCCTTTTCCTTTCCAAGCCAGTGCATTGGTGCTCTAATGCCTCTTACCACTAATGTTGAAACTTTGAATGTGCCACTGTGAACTCCATGCGTGTTGCTCCTATTTCAGTACTTGTGAATATGTGTATGTAATCAAATGGACTTGAAACTTCATGCAGTGTTTGTGCTAAATAGGAACTGAATTTGTTTGTGACATTGATAAGTTGCTTTCTAATAAATAGTGAGGTCTGTGGCTCCATTCTGATGATTGGCCAAAGGGTCCAAGTCAGGTGCTCTCTAGGATGGATTACAGCACTGTGAGTCCTTATGCTTTCTGGTGCTGAAACATGCAGTAGCTCTTCTACTGCCTGAAAAATGGAAGTGAATGATCCTTTTAGCTGCAGTGGTAGAAGCTTAGGTTCCTACATCCAGTAGTTTCTGCTTACTGCAGGCATCCAAACAGGGCTGCTGCTACACTTGGCTTCACCAACAGGTCATTGCAGCTGGAGCCAGGAATGAAGTCCTGAGCTAGCTAATAAGTAGTTGCTTCCCTCTTTGGGTTGCCCTAGTCAGGTGAAGAGTATACTTCCCTCCACTAATAAAATTACTTCAACTTGAAGAGCACAGTGAAAGTGCTGTCAACTGAAAACTGTGGGCTCTAAACAACTGAATAGTCCGTATTTAATGATATTACCCCTGGATCTTGGAATAATATCCAAAGCCATTTGAAATAAAATCCAGACTGACCTGTAAGTAGTATTTCATGCAGATTGACTTGTAAGTGTTGTGCTGTGGCAGTGGATGACATGTCATTTTGCAGTTGTGGTTCTACGTAGAATGTCTGTTAAGAAGCGGGTGTGACAGGTCGAGGCTGGGTGTAGTTCACACATTTCCTGTGTATGGAAAATAGAAGACTCTTATCTGTACAAACTCCGAGAATTCTGGAACTTGATTTAGTAAACTCATGTTTCTAGGGAGAAAAAGCATGTCTTTAAAGGTTAACCATTGGATGCATCTGGACATTGCTGGTGAGATTGAGACGTGTGAAACTAGTCACGTTTATTAGGAGTTACCCATCAGATGGAAACAATATTTACTTGTCTCTTATAGGAGATTAATTTGATGGGCCTCATGTTCACAAGTCATTGTGCTTTAAGTTTATTGACAAATTCTACTGAAAAACCCAGGTTTACTGGGTAGATCATTGTGGATGATTAGTTACCTGTGGAATAAGATCCCTTCCTGGATCACAGTTGAGCCACATAGGAAACCTGATTTGTTATTGAGGGCTTCGTTTATTACCGCTGCCTTTCCTGAGTG